TTCAAATCATCAAAGACTATCAGTATATAAAGTATTTAAGTTACTAAAAATAAAACAAAATCTCATCTGCAGTGTGAACACAATTCATCTCTACATTAGCATCTCTCTATATGAATGTCGCACAGTGCGGTAATCATCAATTAGCATGTACGTATATCATCACACCCTCTAAAAGGAGTGACCGCAGTGCTAACGTTAACCGTACGCTTTCACGAAATCCTCCTTCAAACACTCGAGCGTTTGAGACAATTACAGTGAATTAGCGGAGGAGACTGGATTGTTATCTGCTGAGCTTTCAGAGCCGACTCGGCTTTTTATGGAAGGACTTAACAGCTTGAGTCTAATCAAAGACATTTTTTTCCCCCCTCTGTGTTTCGGGCTAAAGAAATTCAATTAGTTTAATTGGTCTGCTTATTATAGGCTGTAATGTGAAGTGAGCGCCGCTGTTGTCAAACTTCACAGGCTACTTTAAACAGCCTCCTTAATTAGAAGAGCAACTTTAATCTCAGCGTTTCACTCGTACAGTGAGGAGGATCTTCTGGATTCGGGATGAACTAGAAAAGCTTTTAAAGTGCTCAAGTGTGGCCTTTTTTACACACTTTTTCGTAGGTTTATACAAAGATGATATTGATGGTTTTTAGTGTATGATTCTGTGGAGTATTTAGGACCAAAACTTTTTTTCCAAGGTTTTAAATTCACTGTTGACGATTTTTGTAAATTACACAGTATTTAACTGTGATATGAACTGTATTTTACTGTAGGACATTTATGCAGTATGTTACTGTATTTTTAAGATGTAATGTGAAAATTACTGTATATTTTACAGCAAAGTGGCCACACCATGGCTCAGTGGTTAGCACTGTTAAGCCGTACTCGCACTATGTACAGTTGCCTTGAACCGGGCCAAAGCACGATTGTCCGCCCTCCCGTCTCCCTCGACGGCCCGCACTCACACTGCAATTGGGCCTGGGCAGGCTTACGTCATCGATACTGTGCTGTTCAGTAAGTTATATCATTTCAGTCGTTTGTTATGCAGTGACATGCAGTCAAATATTTCGCCAAACAGTCCTTAGGGATGCGGTGACACGCAGTCAGATATTTCGCTGAACAGATCCGCCACTTTTGGCGCTCATAAACAATCATAAAGCTCTCGTGCTGCAAGAATGAGGAGGTCTGCTTAAGGTGCGCAGCTGTCGTGCAGTGAGGGGTTTGCGTCTTTAATAATCTAGGGCAATTTGACTTTATTGAACAGTAAGAGTGATTAATAAATCCATATGAAACAGTCCCTTAAAGTCACGTCTCGCTTTCAGTTTCGGGCTTTGGCCCGGGCTTTGCACTCAAACTACAAACATACCGCACCAAAACCCAAGTGAACCGCACTCAGACACACCTCTTTCAACCGGGCCAGGGCCGGCCAAGTGAACTATGCCTGAGCCCAATTCAGCGCACTCACACTTCTCAAACAATCCGGAAAATGGGCTTGGGCACAGTTCGGATAGCAAAGAATGAGTAGGCCCTTAGTTTCTGTGTGGAGTTTGCATGTACCCTCCGTGTTTGCGTGGGTTTCCTCCGGCTACTCTGGTTTCCCCCACAGTCCAAATACAAGCTCTATAAGTGAATTGGATAAACTTAATTGGCCGTAGTGAATGTGTGTGAATGAGTGTGTATGGGTGTTTTTCAGTACTGGGTTGCAGCTGGAAGGGCATTGGGTGTGTAAAACATATGCTATATAAGTTGGCAGTTTATTCCGCTGTGACGACCCCTGTTAAACAAAGGGACTAAAGCCTGGTTTACACTTCTGCATTGAGTGATCGGCATGGCCCACGGTGCATGCAATGCGTGTAGCTGTGTATTTATACTTCTGCGCGCTGTTTGTGTCGCTCTGTAATAACACTTCAGAAACGCTAGTTGGTAATTGGTGTTTATGTGTCGAGTTTCTTCACTGGTGTTTCGTTTTTTCTGAACGCTTCCTTAATGTACAAGTGGCTCAAACTCGCTCATTTTGAGGCAGGACGGACGGACGTGCAACAACTTTAATCATAAGGTAAACACAAAACAAAGAGGTGGTCTCTGTACGGTTTCAAACAAACCCTGGAGCGATTCGTTTGTAGTGAGAATATGATCCGAACTAAAACAGACCCATCCGCAAACAGTACTGCGCCTTTTTGGACTAATCCAGCTGTAATTCGATGAGCTGTCCCATTTATGGGGCGTGGAGGAAAAATATTTGTTGACAGGCCTTTACCAACAGAACGAGAGAGGGTAAAGCATTTCCTGATGGATTGTTGGTAATATTTCCGGAAGATGAGCATGTCGCAGTTTAGCTTAACTAATTCACGCCTCCTCCTAAAGTGACTTGCGATGCGCCTTTGCCGTTTGCGATGCATTAAAACATTGAGCTTCATTGAGCTTCATTCTCGCAATGTATAGTTTGTCTAAAGTGACGTATACAAACTGTATAGTATACTATGAGCAGGGATACATCAGCCACTTTTTAGCCACTTTTTACTCCATAGTAAAAAGTGACATTTTGTGTCTGCCGGTTTGTTTACTTGCGGGAGTTCCATTGGCATTTTCCTGCATGTTAATTCTGACCAATAAAAACGCAGTTTAGGAAATACGTTCAATAACATCTGGCCAGTGAGTGATGTGGATTTTGTCAGATGACTGCATCTTGGTTCTTTACAACTGGTTCTGACCAAAGCAATCAGTGTGGTGTGAAAAGGACCCAAAAACGGCAGAAAAATGCTACAATGTATCACTTGTTGCTCTTGGTCCAGACCAAATGAACCAAACCACAAATGTGAAAGATTCCTAAATAGATTTTGACCTGTCCCTTACATTAGTTTTAGCTCACGTTAACCAATCAACTCGCAGTTAAACAATCCATTTCTTTGCCGCTCACCCTTGTTTTCCCCCCACAGTCTAAAGGGGTGGAACTTTTTGAGGGCCAATGACAACAAAATGGACGACAAAATGACAAATTGCACTTGTGATCAATCAGAGAAGCGGAAGTGGCTCACGCTCTGCTGGATGGGTTAATGGAGTGAAGACCTGAAGTTCAGCACCACATCTACACTTCTGCCCTTGAGCGAAGCACTTAAACCCAAATCGCTTCAGTAAACACTCCGTCTGAGAAATGACAGTGTATGCAAACCGGCCCATCAGCTTTTCTTTTTACACAGTCGGAGGGAGAGAGAGAGATCTAGATGGTAAATGCCATTTTCTGTACTTTTTTTAGTGTGATTTGTTTATTTTTTTGTAGTTTAGAAATGTTTTGTAGCATGAAGATTAGCCTAGCATGAAAACAGCTCATAGTTAACTGAATATGCCTGCATACTTGATTTAATATTACAATTTTGATCTTCTTGAATATATCTAACAATTTATATAAGAATAATTTTCTTCAAGCACAAGTTAGATTTTTACAAATATTTTAAATTGTCATTTCTAAATATTTTTTTTATAATTTTATCTTCATTTTGATTGTTCTGTTAAATGTTCTATTTTATTATTATTTTTGTTTTGTGTTCCTTTAAATGTTTTAATTTACTTTTCTTTGTTTATTTTTATTACAAATTTTGTTGTGTGTTCTGTTCTGTTTTATTTTATTGACATTTATTTTATTTTATGTTTTTTGTTCTGTTAAAGGTTTTATTTTATTTTAATTGTTGCTTTGTGTTTTGTTGAATGTTTTATTTTATTTTAATTGTTGTTGTGTGTTTTGTTAAATGTTTTATTTTATTTACATTTCTGTTGTGTGTTCTGTTATTTGTTTTATTTTATTTAGTTTTATTTTATTGTTTTGTTTTTGTTCTATTAAATGTTATATTTTATTTTATTTTGTTTTATTTTATTCAAATTTTGGTTTTGTGTTCTGTTAAATTTATTTTAGTTTATTTTGTTTTAATTTATAAAAATTGTGTGTTCTGTTATATGTTTTATTTGGTTTAGTTTTATTTTATTTTATGTGTCTTGTTCTGCTAAATATTTTATTTTGTTTTGTCTTATTTTAATAGTTGTTTTGTGTTTTGCTATGTTTTATTTTATTTAGTTTTATTTCAATTTTTGTTCTGTTAAATGTTTTATTTCATTTTATTTTGTTTGGTTTTATTGAAATCTTTGTTTTGTGCTCTTTGTTTTGTTTTATTATTTTATTTTGTTTTGTTTTAATTTAATTGTTTGTTTTTTCTGTTATATGTTTATTTTATTTTGTAAAAAAAAATCATTTTTATTTTTGTTGTGTGTTCTGTTGTGAAATTTAGTTTTGATATATTTTATAATTTTTTTTGTGTTGTGTTAAATGTTTATTTTATTTTATTTATTTTATGTGTTTTTTATGTTTTATTTTATTTTATCTTAATTGTTTTTTTTTGTGCTTTGTTAAATGTTTTAATTTATTTTGTTTTGTTTTATTTAAAACTTTTCTTGTGTGTTATATTGTATTTTATTTATTTTTGTGCTTTGTTTTGTTATGTTATGTTTTATTTTATTTTTTGTTTTATTTTATTTAACTTTTTTGTCTTCTGTTCCGATACATGTTAAATTTAATTTAATTTTGTTTTGTTGTTTTTTTATTTTTGTTGTGTGTTTTGTCATGTTTTATTTTACTTTGTTTTATTTTATTCAAATTTTTGTTGTGTGTTCTTTTAAATGATTTATTGTATTTTATTTTATTTAAGAAAATGTTGAAGTTGAACATAAAACATTTATCTGCATTACCAAAAATCTATATTGGTGGAAAAAAAAGTTTAGTTTTATTTTTGTTACAGAAAACAACTGAATAGAAAATAAACTCAGATCCAGCATCCTGAGATTGTCAGTCAACCTTTTCTGAAGCTCAGAAACACTTTTTCTCCCCAATCATTTGTAGCAAAGAAACATTTTGCTTTTTAAGCATTTCATGTTCTATTTGTGCCCAATTTGTGGAAAGTGCCAAATGCTTTTTGCAGAGAGAGAAAAAAAGAGCAGAAGACACAAAGAAAGCCGCCACACAGTGCTAACACAATAAAACTGTATTACATTTGTGCTTAAAATGATTACAGTACAGTATGTACACGTCCTAAAAATAAACATCTCATGCTGAATAACACATAAAAAGAAAATCCATATACAATAGCAAGCAAAAAGGAATATTTTTTTTGTTTTAAATATATACAACCACCATATACAAATTAAGTCTGTCTTCATATTTTTCTCTAGGCTATATCCCCTCGGTTCCCAAAGGTAATCATAGCCCATAAAAGGATTATCAACATTGTAGGCTACAGTAGTGATTTGCGCTTGAGAGTCGATAGTAAACAAAACCCGGTAAAAGGCAAATCCTCCGACCAGGTATTCTCCAGTAATGCGACCTGATTGTGTTTAAACAGGGTTCTGATCAAAATGGGCCGCTCAAAAGCAACAAAAAACAAATACGAGGTGGTGTTCGTCACGTCTGGAGGAGATGCTTGAAAACTCTTCAGGTATAAACATGTCAGGGACGAGCCTTGAAGTACACGCAATGACGAAAAGCCTATTAAATAAATACAGTGAAGAAACTAACTCATAGTTTCCTTTGCACAAATGTTCGCATCGGGTCTTTTTAAGTATAAAAAAGTCATAATGTCACCAAGGAACTTGCTGTTAAAGATGTCGAAGGCCAAAGATCAGTTCGAAGCATTTTAATCAGGACACAGAGTAGCTCCGCCCACTGTGAAATCTCATTGGTTCTCATAACTATACATTACACGTCAAAGATCTCCTGATTGGCTGTTCGTAATTACTCCAAATCCCGGTTCAGATGTAATGCAGACGAAAGAAATCACAACGGACAATGAGAAAACCCATTGAACCTGAGATCTTATGATCAATTTTTGTTTTTACTACATAATCTTCACCCTGTTAATGGCAATGTGGGGGGTTTGGTGTTTGTGTTCACAAAAGTCTGGTCTTCATAAGGCCGTCAGGCATTGTCGTTAAATCAGAACCACAGTCTTGGTCCGTCTTCGAATGTTCTTCCGACTTACAAAAAAAAAAAAACGTCTCTATGGCTAATCTGTACAGTACACCGTCCCTTTCTTCGTATATACAGTGTGATGTGGGGGGACAGGGGCTGGAGAGGACACTAGTGCTTTGTGTGTCTGATTGCATGTCCACTTCAAGTCCTCCTGTGAGCTGTGAAGTCGCGGGATGGTCAGCGGACCTGCGGCGCGTAGCCCTCCTTCATCAATCCCTCCTCGTAGTCTGTCTGACAGAGGATCATGTTGTTCTTTAGGAAAAACTTGTCTCCGACGCAGAACCTGCAGGGAGGCCAAACAGAAACACAGCGTTTACATATCTGCATTCAGTACAGTACAACCTGTGTTCAGAGTCTGGGGTCTTTCTTAAAAAAAAATAAAAAAACAATAAGCAGATAAGTGCTTCTTCGCTCTTCTGAGTTGTTTGTTGTAACACAGTCAGATCAAATACGCATCAACTTTTAATTTTAAATAATAGTAATTTTTTCCAATTTAATTTAAATTGTTCTTTTTAACTCGATGGTCCATATTTGGCCCAATGTTGGGTGACAGCAACCTGCATTTTTTTAGGGGGCATCTGAACTACTGCGTCTGTCAAAATCACTCAGATCCATGTTTTCGGATTTACTTCATGTTGCTAGAACTATAAAAAACAGGGATGAGTAGTCTCATAGCTTACACTGCACTCTCAGAAATAAAGGTACAGGAGCTGTCTCTGGGGCAGTACCTTTTCAAAAGACACATATTTGTACCCAACGAGTCTACAGTGGTTCCTCAAACATAAATATTAGTGCCCAAATGTACCTAAAACACCTTTGAGGTACCATTATGCACCCTTTAGGTACAAATATGTAGCTTTTGAAAAGGTACCACCCCAGTGACATCTCTATACATTTATTGTTTCAAGTATACCTGGTAATACTTATTGTATACATATTGTTATACCTAGTAAGACCTTGATTAGTTTGTTCAGGTCTGTTTGATTAGGGTTGGAGCTAAAATCTGCAGGACACCGGACCTCCAGGAACAAGTTTGGTGGCCACTGGCTTAAGAAGTCTAATAATATTGACCATAAAATGTCTTAAAAAAAATAAAAACAGCTTTCATTCTAGCCAAAATAAAACAAATAAGACTTTCACCAGAAGAAAAAATATACTATAGGAAATACTGTTAAAGTTTTCTTGTTTTGGGAAACAATTTTGACCTTAATTTTTTTCTTCTGGGTTAAATCTTGTTTGTTTTATTTGGGCTAGAATAAAAGCAATTATTATTATTATTATTATTATTATTATTATTATTATTATTATTATTATTAATAGAAATAAATCTTTTCCACACTCTTTAAAGCAACATTAGGTCAAATTAACATTATTACCAATTTTAGATTATGGGGATTTAATTTACAGATCAGCTTCAAAAACTCTCCTTCACAAACTGGATGCTATTAACATTGCAGCAATTCGTTTTGTTACTGGTGCGCCATTCAATACTCATCACTGTCAATTGTGTTCTTTATTGAATTGGCCTTTGGTTTCTGTTCATTTACAAAGCTCTTATTGGGAAAACTCCACAATATTTACAGTCACTTCTTAACATTCAGAAAACATGTTGAAATCTGCGCTCTAGTTGTTCTATTAACCTTTGCATAAGTTCACACTTCATTTGGTCGCTACTCTTTTCAGTTTTCTGCTGCTGCTGCTGCTTGGACCTTAAAGCTCAACACTTTTATAACTCAATCCAGTCAGTAGTACAAGATTACTGTGCTTGTTTTTAGTTTTTCCATGGTTTTATATATTATCCTTTGCATTTGTGACATTGTCATTGTTTTGTGTCTCTGTGGCTTCGTATCTGCTTTATATGTTGCCTCTTGGCCAGGTCGTCATTGTAAATGAGAACTGGTTCTCAATTGACTTACCTGGTTAAATAAAGGTTAATAAATGTACAGTATATAGTTCAAAATCAAATCAATTATTACTTGTTTAATGTGTTTGCAGCCTGTTTTAAAGTTACTTTAGTCCACATCAGTTGTTCCTGTAAAAAAGTGCTATATAAATACACTTGTATTGTATTGTATTGTAACTTTAGAGGGACGCAGGAGGACTCATTACCAGCGAAAGTTGCAGGCTTCCCCACAGACTCGCATCTCGCCCCCTCAAATATTAGCGTGCGTTTTCCTGCGGACACGTCGGAGAACGAGCATCTCCAGAGTGAACCTCGCATCTACTCCACCTGCAGCTGTTTCATAAATATACCCCACAGACGGAGCGCTGCCTGACGGGCCGCTGTCTCACTTGACCTTTCAGAAAGCAGATTATGTTGGTCAGGCAGAGGAGAGAGACAAAGAAGGCGGTGGAGAGGGAACCAAAGCGAGCGCTCTGTGTGTTTAGGTGTCCTGAGGGCCGCTTATCTTGCTCACAGCGAGAGTTCGACAAGGTCGGAGCCAGCGCTTGTGTCTACTGGCCGTACTGTTCCCTATACCGAACTCTCCCGCCTGTGGACCAGGAGAAAAAAAACGATGTGTTCTGTTGGTGCCATTTTAATGATTAGAAGTTTGCATCGGAATGCTGTGTTTGGCAAAAGTTAGGTGCTCGCTTTAAAGAATAGTTAGAGGAAGAGTTCATCTTGAGGTAAAGTCAGCAAGTACTGTTTTCACAAAGCGTGTTATTAGTCTCGTTGTGAACATCTATGTGTATCGTCTTCAGTCTTTATGAGGCTTTATGAGTTGCGTTAGCCTCCAGATTTACAGGTACTTGAGAATTATATACTTTATCATTTGTTTACATTTACACCGTAAAATGCTGGGTTTATCATAATCGATAATTGTTTACACAGTTGGCATTAAGAAGGAACATAGAAACATTATCTGACTAACATCTAGCAGCTAAATGTGACTGTAAAAATATTTAAAGGCTTTTATTTTTATAAACAGCGCAGATGTGAATGTGTCTGAATGTTCTGATTGACTAGAGTAGACGTTTCATGTCCGCGCGTTCTTAACGTAAACACGCTCTTTCCGGCAATTTCCCTTCTGCTTTCACTCAGAGCAGCATTCTGACAAATTACCGGCAATGTTACAACTTCTCTTTCCGGAAAATTACAGAAATGAATTTACTGGTATTTTCAAAATGGGCATGTTTACACATGATCCCTTTAATTAGCCTGTAATTTTTCCAGAAAGGTCTGTATGTGTAAAAGGGGCTAAATCCTTTGTTGTCCCAACACAAATCGATTAACTTAATTGTTTTTACTTTACTTTAACTTTAATTAGATTGAAAAAAAAAACAATTAAGTTGTCCCCCCAAAAACCTCAATAACTGTTGATTCTGCTTGTTTATATAAGAGCAAGCAGCAAAAATGTTTTTTTGGGTGTAGTAATATTTTGTGAACAAGTCAGTTTGTGTGTGTGTGTGTGTGTGTGTGTGTGTGTGTGTGTGTGTGTGTGTGTGTGTGTGTGTGTGTGTGTGTGTGTGTGTGTGTGTGTGTGCTTTTGAGGTGATTAGAGAAGAGATTAATGGTCATGTAATCACAAACTAATTTGAACTAAGAAGTTAAACCAAAAAGTAGCTTTAGAGAAAAAAATTAAGGAAATATTAAATGGGCAAAATAAATAAATAAATAAATAGAACCGTTTGCCATTGAATTTCACAGAAAATGATTTAGACTCATCTTTCATTTTCTTAAAAACAAAAGTAAATGTCAAAGTTACAGTGAAGCACTTTATAAATGAATGGGGCCAATTTTAAGCAAACATTTGAATCTTATTATAATTAGCTGATGTGATAGAAAAGAGTTTCATACGGATGTAATCGCAAATTAATTGCATATTAAATTTAACTCGTTCAAAAGTTCAAAACCAAAAAGTAGCTTCAGAAAAAAAATCAATGTAAAGGAGATATTAAATGGGGAAATGAAGAAAATTATTCAACTTAGATCAAATTAAAGCATTTTGCAGTTGAATTTCACAGAAAATAGTTTAGATTTGTCTTTTGTTTTCTTAAAAACAAAAGTAAATGTCACGATGAAGTTACAATGAAGCACTTACACTATAAATTAATGGGGCCAATTTTTAAGCAAAAATTTAAATATTATTTTTATTAATATTATAAATAGTTGATGAGATAGAAAAAAGTTTAATACTCATGTTCTCATAAAATAATTGCATTTTAAATTTAACTAAAGTTAAAACAAAAAAAAAATAGCTTTAGAAAGAAATATAAGGAAAAACAAATATGGATACAAATAAATAAATAAATGAATGAATGAATGAATGAATGAATGAATGAATGAATGAATGAATAAATAACTAAATAAATAAAATAGTGTTTGAGAATTAAGTGAGTCTTAATTCTGCTCATTTTTGCTGCCATTCTAGACTCTGATGTTATAGTAAATAAATGTGTTTTTCCACACTAAAATGACCACGTTGGATATTATTGATAGCGTATTTTGCTATCAAATCTTTACTTTCAATTCCATCGTAAGTGATAAGACAATGACTGAATATAGTGTGAATATACCCTGCACTACCGGGCATCACACAGATGTAAAATTGACGTTGGACTCCAACAGAATAACTTTGAATGTTGGTTGTGTATGAAAGTCGTGTTGACGTCGGAACCAAACATCAGTTAGAGGTCAGACTCCAAAGTCACGATGAATTTTAGTCAGGTAATTAGGCCAACTCAACATAAAACCAACCAAAGATAAATGTCAATGATGTTAGACTTTGATGTTGTATGGATGATAAAATGATGTTGGATTTTCGTTAGTTAAAGCGAAAACCTAAAACCAATCAAATATCAACGCCAGCTGACGTCAGTATCAAACAGCAAATTGACGTAAAATTTTGCTCACTAACGCCGCAATCAAAATTGAACTAAAGATCAACATCATATGAGGTTGCTGGGTACCAACATTGCTCCACAAATGTCGTCAATTTAGCTCAATTTACATTCAGATTCTATCAAAAGTCCTCAAGATGCTCCGAAAGATCTGAAAGTCTTTGCTCAATATAGTGACTAGCATACTTTATAAACCTCCCTCTCCACCATGCGCTCCAGAAAACTTTTTTTTTTTTATTCGTCACACACACACACCAATGTCAACCGGAAAGCCGCAGCCATTAGTCTGGCCCAAGTATCAACAAGTAATATCCATTAATCGCGCTTGTTGACACGGTGATTAACACAAAGCAGAGGTGTGCTTAATGTAATGGTGTCATTCACTCCAATAAAAACGTCCTGTTTAAATGACACATTCTTGCCAGGAATCCATTAGTGTCT